GGTAACCTATTTTGTAGAATATTTCATGAGTTCCTTGTTTTTCAGTGCTGTGTAGTATTCCATTGTATGAATATGCCACAGTTTCTCTATCCATTCATTTGTTGATGGGCACTTGGGTTGTTTCCAACTCTTTGCTATTGTGAACAAAGCCGCAATAAACATGGGTGTGCATATTCTGTTAATACTTTTAAGGCCTGCCTGTTATTATGTGCTGTCCAGTTAGAATGGAGCTTATCCTCCAGTGGATTTTCAGAGGCTATAAATCTCATACCTTTTCAACCTGTATGCAGAACAGATCATTCGGGAGGCTGGGCTCTATGAGGAGAAATGTGGCATCAGGATTGGTGGAAGATCTGTAAACAATCTGCGTTATGCAGATGACACAACCCTGCTTGCTGAAACTGAGGAGGACCTGAGACACTTTCTGCTGAGGGTCAGGGACTGCAGCCTTCAATATGGATTGAGGCTCAACATCAAGAAGACAAAGATTCTCACCACTGGGCCAATTGGCAGCATCAGTATGGACGGTGAAGAGATTGAGATTGTTCACAGCTTTAGTCTGCTTGGCTCCACAATCAACACTCTTGACACCAGCAGCCAGGAAATGAAAAGACATATTGCCATGGGAAAGTCTGCTGTTAGGGACCTTTCTAAAGTACTCAAGAGCAACAGTGTGTCTCTGGAGACTAAGGTGCGTCTGGTACAGGCCATGGTCTTTGCAATCACTTGTTATGCATCAGAGAGCTGAACAATGACCAGGGAGGATAGAAGGAGAATTGTTGCTTTTGAGCTTTGGTGTTGGAGAAGAGTGCTGAGGGTGCCATGGACTGCTAAGAAAACAAACAGATTCATCGTAGAGAGGGTTAAACCAGGCTGCTCCTTGGAGGCAAGGATTCTGAGGCTTTGTTTGACATACTTTGGTCATGCTATAAGGAGGGACCGGTCCTTGGAGAGGGACATCATGCTTGGGTGGTGAAGGGCAGGCGCAGAAGGGGAAGGCCCTCTGGCAGATGGGTTGATTCAATGACTGGGGCAATCGGGATGAGTGTGTCAGAGACAGTGAGATTGGCACAGGACAGAGCAGAGTTTAGAGCTGTTGTAGATAGGGTCGCTATGAGTCGCAAGCCACTCAACGGCACATAACAACGTAAATTGCGTGGAAAAAATTGCCTCTCTTTGTCCTGAGCAGCAGCTGGTGGATTCGAACCACTTGCCTTTAGGTTGGCAGAACAATTCTTTATCACTAGGCCACCAGATCTCCCTACGGTCTGCTTGATAGTCCATATATTGACACAAACTAACTTACTGCCTACAGACCTCTTTCTGATAAAACTGTTTCTGGTGTAGTAGGGGTTTTGTGTTTTGTTTTGCTTTGCTTTTGTAGACAGCTCTGAGAAGAACTTCTTCAGATACAGAGGGTTTTGATCCTGTTAAATTATTTCCTTACCAAGCACAGGGTTACTTTGTGTTCACACAGAAGTGGGAGCCTCACTAGAGTCGTGCTTCATGTTGAGGTAGTTCGTGGAATTAGAACCGCGCATGTGTGTGTGTTGTGGGGAGGGATGAGACAGAAGGAAAGCTCTGAGGGGAAACACCAAGTAGAGCAGGGATGTTGGAGGAGAAGGAAATGCTGGAGGGGCGAGGTCTCAGGCCAGGGGAAAGTTGGATCCCTGCTTAGTTTCTGGGGCCTTTTCTAATGGCCTCCAAGCTCAAGCTAGTTGGTCTTTGATGTAATAGGCTGAAACAAAGTGGGATTAAATGGTCCAGGTACTGCCTTGTCAATCCCATACCCCTGACTCTGGGGCCCACACCAATCAATAAAGACTTGGGAGACTCTGAGTCTCCTTCAGCCAAGAAGAAATAGAATGAGCTAGGCAGAGAGCTGAGATCTATGCCACTTCAGCTACATGTTGATTTCTCTGGAGATGGGAAGGGGCTGCAAGAGAGACTCTGCCTGGCAGAAAACAAGCCCAGGAAGAGGGTTTGCTTGCCCAAGTCTGTGCTGCCTGCTTTTCCCTGGAAGCCTGCTGGGGACACCCTAGACCTGCGCCTTCCACACACAGGTCTCATAGCCGCTTCAGGGTAGGGCTCCAGGGGTGGAGAATGGGGATCTGGCAAACCCTAGAGTAAGGGTCAAAGGCAGAGCTCCAGGATTACGCAGCTGCTGTGAGTGGGAAGTGAGGTGAGCAGTTCTAACTGCCCTCCCTGAGTGGTGTCAGCTCTCCAGCCCCTTGGCAGCAGCCCTGGCCAGCCTGGGAGGGGTCAGCTGGGGATAGGGAGCAAATAAATATAGACCCAGGGAAGGAAGCCAGGAGGCCCAGCCTGGTGCTGACCTCTTGCTGGAAGCCTGGGGACAGTGGGGAGAGATTATGTCCTTGCACCCTCCTCTGGGGTGGATGACAATCAGCCCCTTTGAGTTGCTGGAAGTGGCAGAATCTAGAGCCTTTGAAGGCGACTAGTGTGAGGACAGTGGAAAACTAACTGATGAGGAAGTGCTGCTCCCATGTGACCCACAGAGAACTACATTCCTCTCCACATGGGTTTCTTCTCTACAGAGTCATCTCAATTCATTCTGGTGACTCTGGGATAAGGGACTGAGTAGTCCAACAGGACATTGAGGTCTGTGAGTACAAGCCCCTCTCACAGCCCCGGGGTCCTGCTTATTGCTGAGAGGGAGGACTTTCAGAGCATGAGTTCATCTCCCCCTCCTCCTACCTGTTTACTGGTAGGGTGCTGGCCTTTTCTACCCTGGAGCCTCAGGATCACCTACCCTTGTCATTCCCTAGTCCCTGTGGTACCCCTCCTCCACAGACTCATCTTATCCCCCACTATTGTTGTTGTTAAGTGCCCGTGGAGTCGCAAGTGACTCATAGTGACCCTATGAAGGAGAGTCCTCAACGCTTGGGTCTCTTTCATCCTCTCTCCAGGTTCATAGGGTTTCCGGAGGCAAGCCATTGCGGAAGTGGATGCCACGTCTGCTTCCAAGCTGCTTTTAATCGGAGAGCTCCACCCCACTCTCTGTCCGCATTGGGTAACCAACCATTAATGCATTTGACACATCACTACACACAACATATCCACCAGGCCTGGCCAAGACCCCTGCAACCTGGTTCTGGAACGGGGAATTTGAGTAAGACAGACACACTACCAGAGTCACATTTATTGTCAAAACACATATTCCCAAGCATCGAGGAGAAAGGAGCTCGCTACATGTGAGACGTCCCCCCAGCCCCCGCAACTTCTCAAGGAGATAGGGGGTTGAGGAGGGGACAGGGACATCCTAATCAACTCCATCAGCAGCTAACACTTATGGAACTAAACAAGCCCTTTACACGCATTAACTCATTTCACCCTTATAACAACCCTACAAGGTAGGTACAATTATCATCATCCCCATTTTACAGATGAGGAAACTGAGATGAAAAATGGTGCAGTGGTGGGAGGTTGCGTCAGCTTTCAGGATTGCAGTGGGAGCTTTCAACCTCTTTGGTTTTTCTGTTACACACTAGCTCCGTTTTGCCCACCTTGCACCACTTCTAGTTCATTCTTTTTATATTTTTGTTTTTTATAAAAATAGATTCTCCTTATGTTCTGGAGAGCCCACTGTCTCCTGCCCTAGCTAGTTGGTCTAAGTCTGTGTTTGGGATCGGGATGGGGACTGTGGGCCTTGTAATTGTGAGGGAGCCCGTGCATGTGGGTGAAGCAAAAGTATGATAAAAGCAGTTAGAAAAGACACAATAAATAAATTACAACCGCCCTCCCCGGCCCATTTCCCTATTTTCCCCCCATCTTCCCACTTCTACTCCTCCCCCTCCCCTTCTCCCCCCATCCCCATCTGGACCTGACTGAGTTGCCCTCTACTCCCCTAATATCATAGGGCAGGCTCGTGTCTAGGCCCTCTATTTACAGGAGGGAGCTCTATTGGCCCAGTGGTAAAGAATTGTGTTGCCAACCCAAAGGCATATGGTTCAAATCCACCACCTGCTTCTCAGAAGGATGGACAATCTCCTCCGGTGCAGTTTACAGCCTCTAAAAACCCACTAGAAGATCAGCAATGAGTCGGTTCCAACTCACCGGACACAACAATGACAGCATAACTATTTACAGGGCAAGGGGTCTTCAGTCAGTGTTTGTGGAATGAATGAATGTGAATGAATGCAAGACCCTTGGCAGAGCACAGGAAGGAATCAGGAAGTCAGGGGTCCTGAGCTGCAGCACTAATCATGTTGTCATCTGCACTAAAACCTTCTGAGAGGGTAGAACCCAGCTTATTGGCACTGCTTGCTGAGTTACCCTCTCAGAGGGGCACAGGGCAGGGGCTGGGCACAGGTTGTGGGGGTGGGGCATCAGCTGGGCATTTCCGAGCTTAGGAAGCTCTATAGCTGAAGTGGAGGCTAGAGTTCTGGCCTGGGAGTCAAGAGCCCTGGTTCAAGTCCTGACTCCGTGGCTCAGTAGCTGTGTGAACTTGGGCAGGCTTGGCAAGCAATGCTGACTCATGTGTAATAGTCCTTGTGCATACTGGCCATTGGTAACCATCCCGTAATGCTGGTACTATTAGCAGTACAACCATTTTACAGCAGTGGATGGAGAGGATGAAGTCAAGGAACTTGCCCAGGGTCACATAGCAAGCTGGCACTTGAACCCTAGTCCACCCTTCATCCTTGCCACATGCCCCAGTGTGTGCCATGAAGAGGTGGATTCAGATCTGAGTCTTCAAGCATGGGAGACCATGTGATAGTGGTTAGTGTGGCAGGAGAAGGCACTAGTGAGTGGGTCCCCTTTGATGGTCCCCTGGCCATCTTTAACCAGAGAAGAAGTCAGTCTAACGGGGAAGGTTTCTTAGGCATCCCTTCCTGCCTCCCGTTGTCAAGTCAGCTCCAGGGCTTCAGCTACTGCCCCAAGAGGAGGGCTAGGAATCCATGAGATGCCCATGAACTTCTGCTTTCCCTGGGGCAGGAGGTGTAGGCTGGCAGGGGGAGGGTGGGACCTGGGCCCACTGCTCACACGGGCATGGGCACTTCGTCGTATTCATCACGACCTTCATCCTCATCAGGGATCGCCTTGGCATCATCGGCATCCAGCTGGAGGAGCGGGGCAGGAAGGAGAGAGTGTGAGAGGCCGCTGGGCCGGAAGAACTACCCCTCCACTTGGAGCTTTAGATAAGTCCTGTCCCGTCCCCTCAACTTCTGACTAACACAAGGTTGATTTAGAAGAGAAGTTTCAAAAGTGATGAGGCCTGGCCTGGGGATCCAGTGTCCTAAGGGGGAAGAGGAAGCTTGTGGACAGTGGGGCACTTCACCAGGGGAGTCCAACAGTCAGCTGGATAACATTGTGGAAGAATGTTAGTGGAGGATCAGCACTGTTGAGAACAAGTCAGAAGATCACACAACTAGCAAGTCAGTGGTGGTAACCGCTCACGTGGAACGCATCCCCTGTGCCTCTTAACTCTCTCAACAGCCCTGTCGTTATCTCCATTTTACAAGTATGAAGACTAAGGCACAAAAAAATGAGGTCACTTGCTCCAGATCAGACAACTAGTAAATGGCAGACCAGGCTTTGGACCCAGACCCTAGACCTTGACCTTGAACATGACATTCTCTGCTTTCCCTGATGTCCTGATGTTGATACTTGCCCCTCCCATTCCCTGAGGTCCTTTGATGCCCAATCCTTGTCCCCGACTGGTGGTTCTGTCTCCAGCCTTCCACACTCCCTAAGATGCCCTCTCTGGCGGTGGCAGCTACTCACACACTGGAGCTCCAGGTTCCGGAAGATGAGTGGCAGCAGAAGGCGTCGCAGGGGCACAGTTAGGATGAGGACGAAGGGCAGGGTCAGCGAGGCGGGGGTGGACTTCACCACCCACAGCACAGCCAGGCAAACGATCTGGATGCCCGTGAACAGGTGCATGCGCCAGGTCTTCACCTGCAGGCAGAGGCTGAGGTCAGCGCCTGCTCTACCCAGCACCCCTGCCCCAGGCTGGCCAGTTGGGAGGGCCCTGTACCCGCTTGACGTAGGGCACATCTGGGTGGTACTTAGGCGGCTTGAGCAGTAACAAGATGCGGTCGAAGAGCTGGATGCCACTGAGGGATGTGACCCCCATGTAGAGGAAGATGCCAAACAGCACAGCCAAGGGGATGCGGGACAGGATGGGCTCCATGAGGATGGACAGGCCTGTGGGGAGACCACACACGCTCAACCGCAGGCTGCAGGGAGGACCGGTGGCCAGACTCCCCGCTTAGAGCTGGGGAGTAATACCACAGCTACCATACGGAGTCCTTACTGCAGGCCATTTTGATCCTCAAATAATCCCAGGGCGTTGGTACTATCCCAATTCACAGGTGAGAGAATTGAGGCTCAGAGAAGTGAAGTAACCAGACCACACAATTAAGGTGTAGCAAAGCTGGTAGCAGACTTGGCTGCCTGACTCCAGAGTCCATTCTCCCAACCTAGGGTTTCAGGGGTTAAGGAAGTGTACCTTCCCTCAACCCCCACTCTCAGCCGAGGAACCCCACTGTTGCTGTAGCCCTCCACATACGCAAACCCTACCCTCCTCCAGCCAACGGCAGACTGGCCTCCTCCAGGGCGTGACCCATGCTGAGCCCTGGCCAGCTCTCTGCCCGCCCAGCAAAACCCCAGTGACCCTTCTGTCTTTGCGCCTTCCTCACTTCTCATTAGGCCTGGAGCTTCGTTCCTTGCTTCAGTTAGTTAGAGCAGCTGAGTCACTGAGGGTTCAGCTGCAGCTAATGAACCCTCTTACGCCCAGAGACAAGGTGGATTCTTAGCACCTGGAACTCATGGTCACTGAGAAGTCTGGTCTAGAGAAGACCTTAGTCACGGAGGCCTCCACTACTCAGATGCCCACTCCAGGCCCATGGGCATTTTCTCCAGGCTCTCCTCATGTGGTGGGTTCCAGCGAGTCATCAATGCTGGGGAGGCTTGGCTGCAAGGTGGGCAAGGCTAGAGGGGCACTAAGAGTCAGGACCTGCAAAGCTAGGGCAGGAGGAGGCTGGGAGGGTGGCCCACACTCACCCACAAGCACAGAGACCAGGAGCCCACTGATCCGCTGCTCCTTGACCTCCTGGACCTGGGCTGCGGCTCCAGGGGTGCTGGCCTTGCCCATGACTGTGAGGGCGTTGGCGTGGGTAACAGAACGCACGGTGGTGGCGCTGAGCCAGGGCATCCCAAAGATGGCGGCCACCCCACCCATGCCCGCCACCAGCAGCAGGTCCAGGTGGAAGCCAGAGCCCTTGATCATCTTGCGCTCGGGCTTGCTGATGATCAGTCTGGGGTTGTGGGGAGAAGGGGGTTCAGGGTAAATGGGTCTCTTCCCCACCCACGCCCCCTTTTCCCCTTCTCCATGCTGGGGTCCCTCCATACTTCAGTTTTTCCTCCTGCACTTGTCACACTTTGAATTCTCTGTTCTCCCTTCCTCCCCAGCTTTGGAATGACAAACTTTAAATGAAAGAACTCAGAGCCCCAGAACTTTCAGGGTGGTTTTTTGATCCTGAGGCTGATGAAGCTCCCTACTAGGACAGACCTCCTTCAAGGTCAGCTCCCCCCAAGGCCTGCCCCTTCCTAGTCCAGCACCTAATTTTGCTATTCTCCTTTTATATTCTTCTTTCTTAAAAAAACACTCCCCAGACTAGAAAACTCCAGGTTCCACAAAGCGTCAGCCTGCCCCTACCCTTTGTAATCTAGCTGGTCAGCCTGCTCAGTAGAGCCCAGCACTCTGTCCTGTCCCCTGCCTGCTGAAGCTGCCGCTTCCCCTGCCTCTCATTCCCCCAGACCCTGCTTGCTCTTACGTGGTGATCTGAGACTCGAGGAAGATGAGAATGAAGACCAGTAGGGCTGGCAGGGCAGAAGCAAACATCATCCAGACGGGGAAGTCTGAATACAAGCCCAGTGGGTGGATGACCCAGCCTCGGGCCGTAGCGTTGGACACTGTGAGACCTTTGGGCACCTTGAGTTTCTGTGGGAGGAGGCAGCTGATGAGAACATGAGTCGACTGGTGAGGGAGCCTGGGGATCAAGTAGTCAGGCTGGGAGCACTTGAGAATTTATGTCCCTTGAACACCCACTTTGTGCCCGGTCACTGCACTAAGCCTTTTAATGTATGTTCTCATTCCCAATTTTACAGACAAGGAAACAAAGTTAGAGAAGACATGTAACTTGCCCCTCACCCCCTCCAACACACAACTCTTTGGTGGCAGAACTGAGTCACACCCAGGTCTGCCTAGCTCCAAAGCAGACTCTTTCTTAAAACTCTGGATTAAGGAGGAGACAGAGAGTGGAGGAAACTGAAGAAGCCCCCTGCTTTGGACAAAGGGTCCTGTGAGCTGTAGGAAAAATGCAGGTGTCCAGAAGAAGCAAGGATGGGGCAGGGATAGTCAAAGCTAGCTTCAAGTTGAGGGAAACTGTTCTGAAAAAAAGGAGAATGAAATAAGGAACAGGATCAGGGTCCTGGGGGTTGAGGGCTGGGAAGGGGGGATCACCTGAGTGTAGGTGTCCTGGATGAAGAAATCCACCATGACCATGATTAGGATGGAGATCGGAACTCCAAAGTCTCCGATGATCCTACGCAGCTGAGAGTGAGTAGAAGGGTCGGTGACCAGGGGTCAGTGCCCAGTTACCCACCTCCAGCTTCCTGATTGCCCTCCTGCAGCCCCACCTTCACTTAGGGAATTCTGCTCTTCCTAGGTGATCCACCAGGATGTGAGACTCTCAACAACAGCTTCTTTCTCTTCCTCTCCTTTTCTCTTGGCTTTGCCCCACCGCCTCCCAAAATCTATCCCTAACTCCCTGCTGAGTTCTGAGCACGGACATGCTGAAAAAGGACAAGGGAAGACTTGGGGTGGAGGGAGTTTAGGACTAGGAGGTAATAAGCACGGGACATAGATGTGGGGTTAGAAATGGGATTCTGGGGTAAGAGCAGGAACTAAGGGCCCTTGGGGAAGCCAGACAGCTTGGGACTGGAATTGGGAGGGGGAGACCAGAGCAGGTGGGAGAGTCAGCTAACCTTTCCAGGGAAGTAGGAGCTGTTCTTGAATTTGCGCAGCATCATAGCAAAGAAAAAGGTGCCAGCCATCAGCACAAGGGACAGGAGGGCTGTGTTGGGCAGGGGGGCTTGAGGTTTGGGGTGCAACGTCACGTTGTATTTATAGTGCTGCTGCAGTGGGTGGTCCTGGAATATCTGTGGCAGAAGACCAAGGTACATTGTAAATCCACCCAGCACCATCATCTACCCATCATCCATCCGTCATCCATCCATCCACCCACCCACCCACTCACTCATCCATCCACCCACTCATCTTCCTTAGCTGCTGTGAGTACAGAGGGGCAATGGGATTTCACAGCTTCGTTTTCAGGCATATGAACCAGGCTAAGCTTGGGTGGAGTGGCTAGGGGATCATGTGTACATAAGTGTGTATAGCCAGGGCCCAGGGGCTGTGGGGAGACTGGAGGGCAGGAAATACATGAACAAGAAGTTTCTAGAAATGGCATAAAAGATCTTGGTCAAAAAGACCAAATAACTAAGAGAATTAGGGGCAGATATAAAGTCCACCCCTTCTCCAAGCATAAAAGTATAGAAGGCAGGGTCCTCCATCTGCAGGTCCTAGAACTGTTGAGGGCAAGTGCGGGCAAAGGAATGTGTGTGGGTGTCTTCTAAGGCTCCATCCCTTTCTCCCCGATGTAGTTTCCATGCTCATATGCACATGCACACAGTCACACCTGTCCATTAGACCCACGGTGGTGCGGTCAAAAACGTGGGCAGGTGCACAGAAGGGGCGCTCTGTGCACTGTCATTCTGCATATCCACGTCAAGAATATAGTAAATTCAACATGCATGTGGTCACACAGTCACATGTGTAGGCAGCATACAATGCAGACACACATGTTCTCAGACATCATGTGCACAGTCACATAGAGGTGACAACATGTCATATAAGAGCTCTCCACATGGATGCAGTGACACATACACACACACAGAGGCACATCATCCTGTCCAGTCTCCCACATAGATGTGCGTAAGCTTTAATGCCCATGGCCCCCACCTTGATCAGCTTGGAGAAGGTCTCATAGATGAAGATGAGGGAGATGAGGAAGGAGAAAATCTCCTGGGTGTATCGCGAGATGAAGCGGACCAGGAAGCTGCCCTCGAAAGCAACCACCAGCACCACCAGCAGGATGAGCCAGAAGCCGATCCACACACGACCCACGATGTACTCCAGGCCATTGTTGTCACAGAACTGCAGGGACAGTCAGAGGCAGAGGGCATCAGACACTGCGCATGGGCAGGTGGGGCCGGAGGTCAGGCGTAAGGTCAAGGTCAGAGTGGACAGGAGTGAGCTACCGAGAAGAAGGCTTCCTCGAACACAAGCAGGGGTCCTGAGAATCCCACCACAAGCAGGGGCTGGGCCCCCAGCAGTGCGAAGAGAACGCCCTGCACTGCGGTGGAGATGAGCAGCTCTGACACCCCCATCTGGTTCCGGGTCTTTTCTCCTGCGGACAGAGGTCACAGTGACATCAAGATCATTTCCAGGGACAGATAGAGGGAACCATGGGCAGGCTGGTGTAAGGGTCAGAGTCAGGGCCAGGGCAGAGACCAGTGGTTGGAGGTGAGGAGCAGGGGACAGGCAGAGACACTGACCCAGGAGGCCGCCAAAGGTGATGGCAGGTGACAGGGCAGCAAAGTAGATGAAAATGACAGCAGCCAGGACCTGGGGGCTGAGCGCGTCTGTGATGTCACTCAGGTAGCGGGGGTAGCGCCGCCTGATGTCCCGGGCCAGGCCCCCAAAGAAGTAGCCTGTCCTCTGCAGAGGGTCATCTGAGCCATCGGGTCCCCCAAGGCCCCCATTCTGGTCTGTGAAGGACAGAACAGTGGTTAGTGGGAGTAGGGACATGGCCTGACGGGAGGAGATGGCCAAGGGGTCAAGGTTAGAAGAGAGTAGTGGGCTGCTTGGTGGGAAGCGGAGGTGTGCAAAGCCTCACAGGGCCATGCAGGGTATCTGAGGGACTCAGGGGGCTCAGGAAGCCTTGGGCTGGGCAGGAGCGGGTACCTAGGCCCTTGTAGAAGCTGAGGTCTGGCTTGGCGGGGCTGGGCAGGTAGCGCCTCCGCAGGAGCTCCCTCTGCACGGGCACCAGGCTGAGCAGGGCCTGCTCGGAAGGGGCATCCGTAGGAGGCAGCACCAGGCTGCAGTCCAGAAAGTCTTCCAGGGAGCTCACCAGCTCCCCGCGGGTCCGGGCCGTGTAGGCATATGTGCGGAACACCTAGGGCAGGAGGCAAGGTCAGAGCCGCCAAGGTGGCTGAGCCACTGAGCGAGGACCCCAAGAGGTCACAGCCAGCACCTCCAGGGACAAGAACACTCTCACCCAGCTCCTCGCTGTGGGATTGCAAGAAAGGGCTTTGGGAGATGCTTGGGGGCCTCCCGGGGTGGGAGTGGGCGGAAGGAGAGGGAGCTAAAGCAAACCAGATGGTTTAGAGCTGACCAGACGACCAGACAGAAACAGACCAGACCAGGCCAGTTCTGACTGGGCGGAAGCAGGGCAGAGTGGGCCGGACCAGACCAGACAGAGAGGGAGCAGACGTCACAGAAGGGACTGTCCCTGGCCAGAAGGCACAAAATGGCTGTATTGGGCCAAATGGGTCGAGTCACTGAACCTGAAGGAATCCACCAACTGAGTCCAGAGAAGGAACCTTCGCCTCCCCCTCACCCTGTTCCCTGCACCCTTCTTCCCAGCTTTCTTCTCCCCAGCCCCTCCTCACCCTCTCTGACATGAGGGTGGCAGCAGCCCGGCCAAGCTGAGTGTAGTCAATGTGGGGATCCTCAGGGCCCAGCAGCACGAAGAGGAAGCGAACGGGCACGGGCAGCTCTATGGCCTCCAGGTTCTCGGCCTCCTGCAGCCGCACGAAGCCCAGCACTGGCCGCTCGAGGAAGGAGGCACGGCCTGTGAGGGGGCAGGGTCAGTGTGGGGGGCAGGGACTCAAAGGAGGGACAGGGGCAGGTGGGGAAATGGGGTCAGGCTAGGGGATGGGGATCTGCTGGGGGATGGGGTCAGGCTGGGGGACAAGGGCCCACAGGAGGGGTGGGGCATGCTGAGGGACAGGGATCAGTGAGGAGTGATACAGTTAGGGAGGTGGACCCGGTAAGGCTGGGGGATGGGGTCAAGTGGGGGATAGGGGCCTGTGGGAGGGGCTGAGTCAAGCTGAGGGATGAGGCGAGTGCACATGAGGGAAGGGGCCACTGAACAGCTTGGCCAGACCAGGGGCTGAAGCAGTGGGGTGTCAGAGGAACTACTTACCCACAAGCACCAGCGAGGCCTCTGAATCTGGGGGAATCTTTTCTAGTATTCCAGATGGTGACCGGCCTTCTGTACTCCCTTCTCCCTGTTGGATGGAGGATGGTGAGGATCCAGGAGGTCTGAGCCTCCAGCCTCCTCCTCACATTCCAGGGGGGACTGTCCAGCTCTTCCCATGCATACCTGGCACCACCTCACCTGCTCACAGAAGAGCTGTGTCTCCAGTGAGGGACGCTGGGGAAGCAGAGGCTGGGAAGGGTCCCCAGACCGGGTCAGAATGGTGGGTTTCGTGCCTCCCAGGGTCTCCAGGTCACTGGCATGGCTGCAGGAATCAAAACACAATGACATGAGCTGAGCAAGCCATCCAGGCTGGGCTGTGGAATTTCATGGCCAGAGAGACCAATAGCATTTCCTAGATCAGACAGGGAGACCTTGGGGAAGAAGAATCCGAACAGGCTCTCATGGGGTGGATATAAGTTATGGCTGGTTGGAACCAGAAAACAGTATGAAAGAAAAGGCCCTGAGGGTCTACTGTGTCCTGGGGACTGATGGCCTGTGTGTGGGTGGGCCCCAATCTCCTATCCCCAGTTTTGAGCATGGAGACATGGTCACCTATTTGAGTGTTAAAGGTGGAAACAAGAGTAGAGAAAGAGTGGGCCTCAGCCAGTTGTGGGGGCACCATCTGGAGCCTCCTGGGAGGCCCTGGGACCATGGAATGCCCTGGTGGGAAGAGCACCTGTGTTTGAGCAGTAGGGCTCGAAGCAGCTCCTCTCTGTCCTGGGGCCGGATTTGTTCTTCGAAGATAAACCTGTCCAGCAGCTGGTTGGCCACCCCAGCCAGGGAATTCTCCTGCAGGTCCAGGAGGACAGTACCTGCAGGCAGGGAAAGGTCAGCTGGGCAGTAAGAACTGGCCCCTCCCTGGATGTCAGGTGCAGGGGCTATCGAGGGGAGCCCCTGGAGTCTCACCCTTGGTGAAGGCTTTCTGCAGCTCCAGGAGGCTCCAGAAGGTGAGATAAGACAGGTGTGGGCGGCCCCAGGTCCCATTCTCCCCCAAGTTCTCTTCCAGCCGCACCCAGTGTGCTGCCTCCATCCACTGCAGCTCCTGGTTCTTCTCATCCATCACCAGTTCCTGGAGCTCCACGTAGACCTGCAGCCCCCCCAGCCCACGGTCAGAACACCAGGCTCAGGGCTAGCATAGTGGACACTTGGCAAACTTTTGAGAGATGCTTGTAGGAGACCCAGGCAGGACCCAGAAGCCTTAGGGGAAGACCCTGATCTCAGAGGGGACAATTCAAGCTGGCCTGGGGGTGTTGAGTGAGGTAGGATGCTTAGCAAGATGTATGAGGATCTCATAAGGGGTGTTTGGGAGACCTCTAGCTGTAGTCTCTAACTCTATCTGTATCAGTGGTATTTGGAGAACTTCTGGACCAAAGCAGGAGGTTTAGGCTTGAAGTGGCTATGAAGTCACCAAATCAGTCTCCTGCTCTCAAGAGTATTGAATGTATGTGTCGCTCAGCATGCTTTTGAGTTTCCTTGGGGTTAGGTGCTCCCCAGGGGCCTCTCTAAGAGGATCCCCAATTCCCTAACCAGCTAACCTGAGTTGGAGTCCAGGGGACCTGAACAGAGGGAGCTTGGGAGCTGGCCTGTGTCAGGCAAGAGTACCTGGGGTCTAGAGTCCCAGCAACTGACTTGTTTACTTCTGCCCTGGGGGTGCCTAGGTCTCTCCCTTCAGAGGGTGATGTCATCCTTCTATTTCCTAGGACTTCCACTCCTTTTCTGCCTCATGTGGGGCTCCTGAGTCTGCTCCCCTCTGGCAGAATGGTAGGTCCAAAGGGCAGCAAGGGAAAGGGAATGGGGGAGGCCGGTCCTCACCTCGTGGGTGCCTGGCTGTTGGGTTGTGATCTGGTAGTCTGTGACTGCTAGCTCTGTGGGGAGAGCTGAAAGACAGCTGGTTACTCTTCTCTCCAAAACAAGACCCCAAGCTCTAGAGGCCCAAGAGACCCAGCACTGCCCACCTTAAGTCTTAGAGACCTGGTACAGGATGGAATCTCATTTCCTCCCATTGCCCCTGGGCTGGGACCCTGGAGACTCCACTGTACCACTGTCACCCAGAGGCCTGTGGTCCCCATGCCTATTCTTGGCCCTGACGGGCCACTTCCCATCTGAGCATCTCAGAAGACCCTTATGGCTGTACACCGCAGTGATGACAGCAATGGAAGAATCCTGAAGGCCATTTTCAGCATGTTTCTAGGGTTACTTTCATCTTCCGCCACCCTCCAAAACAGCTCCCCTTCTTCCTTTACTCTCACCTGCCTCAACAGTCCTACCAGCCCAGTAGCTTCCCACAGACTCTTCGGCCAGCCAAGCTCTGGGCTCTCCAGGGTGGGCCAGGCCCTTATATTCTCTCCACCCCAACCTCCCCACTCCCAGCCCTCTGTTCCCAGAGGGGCCTCTGATCTTCAATGCCAAATGCCAGCACTTAAGTCTTGTTGACAGTAAATAAAGTCCTACCCAGGGTTCCCCTCCAAATACCTTGGACAAGCCAAGGAAGGTGGTACCTCTCTGCACTGGGGGTCTCCATAGGCCCCCTCATTTCTCAAGACTTCTCGACCGCTAAATTGAATGTTGTGATGTGCCTGGAAGAGGCTGAGGGTCTTGCCTAGGTGTTGGTATTGCATGGACACAGGTGGCAAATGACCTCACGCCCTTGTGCCAGACATCCCTGGCTGCCCTCTCAGCCATTAAGGAGCAATGGAGACGGTGACTGCCCCCTTGCCCGCCTTCCACTCCCCCCAGGCTCCTCCTGTGATCATTTCAAACAAAACTCTGTTTATCCTTCAATTAGGTTTGTGGGGAGAACTAGCTGTGGGGTAGGTAGCCAGAGAAGGGAAGAGGTCAAGTTCTCTGGCCTATAGACCCAGGACTCAGCAGCTCATCTCTGTCCGAGGGAAGGAGGCGGCCTCACCTTCAGGCTCCTCCACCTGGTGCACAGGAACACCTGGATCTTCATATTCCTCCTGCTCTAGTATCTCCTCCAGCACCTCTTCATAATCCTCCTGTGGGGAGAGGGCATCAGTGAGCTCCTCAACCCCTCTCCTCATGAAGGGCTGGCTCCCCAGTGTCCCAGGTGGGAGCCTCACAGAAACCCAGAGATCTACCTGCAAGTCCCCCATGGCGTAGTCCTGAGTGTCCTCTTGTCCACGGAGATCTGAGTCCCCAGCATAACCTGGCCCACAGGCCCCTGCAGGAAGAGAGGCATAGTCTGAGGCAGGACATTGTGGGGGGCCCCCTGGTCCTTCCCCAGAGAAGGATACACTTCAGGGATGGGATCTCAGGGGCTGGGAGATGGTGGGATCAGAGGAAGGAAGTGGGTATAAGATGTGAAGAAGGAGCTAGATTTGTGAGGGTGAAGACCAGGGTTGGGTGGAAGTTAAACGGGCAAGGAAGATGAAGTGTGGGGTTGGCGTCAATCTGGGTGTATCAGGGAGAGTAAGAGAAGATGTCCTTTAAATCTAACTCATCCCGCCGTCTACCAGTCCTCAGGACTCAGCCAACTGCAGGGATATGACCTCTGCATGGCCATTTTGGGCTGAATAGGAGGCTGTACCATCCTTGGAGTGGACGGTGGGACACAGGGTGCCTGGCACTGCCTGAGACTTTGAAGGAGGGGAGTGTTTCAAACCTCATGTAGTGTGGTCCTGTGCTTCTCTCCCTCAACCCACCAGGAGCCCCTTGCTATACCTGTCCCATTAGCCTCCTTGTGGCTTCTAGAAGTCCCTTCCACTGTCCAGGGCTTTTGCACATGGCAGTTGTCTCCGCCTACGTGTGCCTATCCCGCTGCATACACCTCAGTCACTTCTCACATCACAGCCCAAATGTCATCTCTAACGAGGTGCTCCCTGACCACCCCACGTTCACTAACACAAGCTGTCATTTTCTGCTTTCTTGAATGATCTGTCTATAGATCAATGTCTACATCGTCTGACACTGTTCTAGAAAAGAAACCACGTGAGTGCAGACTCTTGTCTGTCCCATTCTCTGCTGAATGTCCTGGTGCTAGCAGAGTGGTTGCATAGAGTAGGTGCTCAGTAAATATCTGATGAGTGAAAGCAGCAATGACTCCCCCTTGCAGGCTCTGTGGCAGAGAAGTCAGGATAACTAGGACTCAAGTAAGAAGCCAATGAGCCTGGGCCTGTTTCCTTGGTTTTGTGCCTCAAAGAGAGGAGATATCTCCTCTGAGGAATGTTAGGACAAAGCAAGGGCAGGGCAGGGATCCCCTAAGGGGGACCTAGGCTGTGTTTGGAGGAACTTGCTTTCCTTCTCTTGCCTAGGCTTCAAGGTGACCCCATGTTTGAGTCAGATCCACTGGCATGCCTACCCAGTGTCTGGTGTCTGCATTGCACTGAGCACTGAGATGCTGAGATAAACAAGACACGAGTCTTAATTCTCAGGAACCTCCAAGCCCTGGCTGGAGAGAACCTGAGAACATGTTGCAGGCTGTCCTCCAAAGGAACACAAGTTAAGAGGCCAAGGATTTGTATGTCAAAAAGAAGAGTTTGACATTGTGGGTGGTGGCAGATTGAATGTCCCTGGAGAAGAGCCACTGGAGCTGGGCTTAGAAGCTCTAGTGGAACTTGATGATCTGAGAGGTGAAAGACAGCTTAGGTGTGAGGAACGGCTGGACAAGAGTGTTGAAGGCCAAGTGTGCAGAAAGACCCGTACAGAGAACTTCTTTTCTGAAGAACGAGTGGCCTTGGAGATAGAGTGAAGCATGACTGGGCCCCACCCCACTGAGAAAGGTTAGGGTCACTGCTTTGAGGTGATGGGGGGTTTTGATGACCCTGAGTGGAGCCCAAAGCTGGAAGATGAATTTATCTTTGGGTCCTGGTCACATACACGTTTTTCCTCTCGTCTCCTTCTCTCTCTCCTTCTTCCCAGGTTGTCCTTCCTTCCTCTTTCATCTCTCACCTGTCTTGTTTGGCCTCTTTGTGATTCCTAGGACTCATCAAGCTCTTCCCTGCCACAAGGTCTTTGCACATGCAGCTGTCTCAGTCTGGATGACCCCTACTTCACAACACACAAACCCCTCAGCTCTTCTCATATCTCTCCTTTCTTTCTCCTGTGGCCTTACCCCTTCTTCCATATGGGGCTCAGTTCTTAAGTGACCTCAAAGGTGGTATAAGACCACTCATGGTGTGGGGATTATAGTTTCTCCTTCTGATATGGTCAGAGGGACCCTCCAGAGCCAGAAAGTTCAGCCATCCTAGATGCTTCTGTACCGCTGATTGGTCCAGCCTTAGATTAGCTCCCAGACTCTCTCCCATCCTTGGTCACCCCATCTATGCAATGCAAAGGGTGTCTCATCAGGGTTTTGAGACACGAGTGAGAAAAGAGGGCAAGATGAAGAAACCTTGAGCTCAGCCAGGGTGTTGGAAAGCATACCAGATTGTACCCTAGCTCAGAACAGCTGTCCCCCAAGCCTTGGGCCCTGTTCTGCCTGGCACTGATAAGAACTCAGGCCCCAGTGGCTTCGCTAGACCTGGAAGAATGCCAACACCTGGCCCCCTAGCCAGCCAGAGCAAGGCCAGATAAGGGTGGGTGAGGCCTCTGGGGCCCAGAAGTTGGGAGCAGTTGGGGGACAGCACAGCTGTGAGGCTAGGGGAACCAGATGACCGAGACGGCTCCCAGCAACACAGCACCCTTTACGTAATCACCCACACACTACGTGGAGAGTTGTACTGCTTATCTTGTCTAATCCCCAAATGCTCTGTGAAGTGGGTTATGCCATTAGACCCATCTTACAGATGAAAAAGCTGAGGTTCTGAGAGGGTTGCCTGCTTCAGTCACCCTGTGGTTGGGTTTCAGAGACAGGGTTAAACCCTAGTCTCCCAGACCCCAGTTGTTTTTCTAACTACTATGCTGAACTGACTCACAGAAAAGAAAGCAGCTAGAAGTGATTGAGTGCTAGTGATTTAGAGTAACTCTGCAGCCAAGTACCCAGGTTCAAATCCTAGCCCTGCCACTTACTGTGTGACTTTGGGCAAATGACTCAACCTCTCTGTGCATCAGTTTTCTCATACATTAAATGGAGGTAATAATAATGGTCCCTACCTCATAGACCTGTTGTAAGTATTCATATGTATAAAGCACTGAGGATAGTGTCTAGAGGACAGAGAGCTGCACAAATGTTTGCTATCACTGTCACTGGATCCAGGTCAGGCTTGCTGTCTTCACTGCCCATCTCATTTCCCTTCACTCCCCATGGACTTAGCTTGAGGTAAGTGAAAGCTTCTGGTCATGGGGGGCTCTTGCATTCCTTTCCAACACTCCCCAGGATAGGGACAGAGCCAGGTCCCTGTAGTAGACATTCCAGAAGTGTCCCAAATGGAAGGTAGTGCCAACCACCTTGCCTCTTAGGTAGAAGGGGTGGCCTGGGGACTCCCATATGTCCAATAGGGGTCTAGGTGGCCAAGACCTGAGTCTGTAGTACCCAAGGAACTAGTTTGCCCTCATCCCTTACACACACACACACACCCTAGCCACACACCCACACACATGTCTGTTGCCATGTGTGAGCCTCCCATACCCAGCACTAGGCACCTTGATCTCCCAGGCTGCAGCTGCCAAAGGCCGGTACCCTAAGGCGCAGTAACTCAGCTCATGCCATTGTCACCCCACCCCTTGGAGGTTGGGACACCTGTGCCCAGCTGGACACAAATTCAGACTGGGCACCTGTAGAGACCCTCAGGGCAGGTGCCGCAGGACCACCCCCTGCCCATCCTAGCTTTGCCCACCTGCTCACGAGTCTCAGGGTCCCTCGGCAAACTCCTGCAGCCACCAGTACCCTCTGCGACCAGCTGAGCTCCAGAGCTCCCGCCTGCTCTCTCTGACAGGCCAGGGCCTCGTCCTCGCGCCCCTGGGGCAGCTCACAAACCCCTGACTCATGCCCCCGCCTCCTAATCTGCCTACCCCATGGGTCCCAGGAGTCCTGACACACCCCCCCGCCCCACTCTCACTGGGTGCCTGGTAAACAGAGTTATCTTTCACCCACATCTGGACAGCTGTGAGGCTGGCCCACCCCAGCCGCCTGCCAGCCCCTCAAGGCACCCATGGCCCTCCTGGTTCTGGGTTTCTCCAGGATCTTCATAGACTGAGGTTTGATGGCTGGTTTGTTTTCAGAGCTCCAGCTTCAGCCTCGTGGGTGGCACCAACCTTTGAAGGTCCTGTCCTTTCCTCTGCCATCCTCTGTCCATCTCTGCCAGTCCCTCTTCAGCACTCAGTTCCTGCAGCTTCCCAAGGGACATGCTCAGTGTCTACAGGTGCTGGGCAGCCCCTTCCCCTACCTGCCCCCATCTGTACCCAAGACCCTGGCTGGCTCCAAAGAACTGGCCCCTGGGCGTTAAGACGCTGACACGCAGTCAACCTGAAACAATGTCAGGGCTACAAAAACAACAGTCCCCACACCATCCTCTATGGTTGACAAAGCCCCAATGTCTGGGCACACTGGCTTCTCTGTCAGCCACCCAGCCCAGGTTCCCGGGCCAGAGCAGCCACATTCTTGGCTCCCGCCATGCCCACAATGCCCCTTCCCACACCCCCCTTCAGCAGGGCAGTGTGTCTACTCCTGAGGGGTGGTTGGAATCTCGTCACTTCTTCCTCGTTGCTAAAGAGATGAGTTCAGGTGGGTAAGAATAAAGGTTTTTAAGCCAGACTGGGAGATGTATGAAGCACGCAGCTCAAGGCATGGGATCAGGAAGTTGCCCTGGTCTCGCTGTGACAATGACCAGCTGGGGGACCCTGGGCCAGTCACTGCCCGCTCAGACATCAATGACAATGCTGGGTTCTATGGCTACCAGCTTTGGGGAGTCCCTGGTTCAGCTTCAGAACAAGAGATACCCAGGCCAGGGACAGAAAGAGGGAAGCACTGAGTGATTTCACAGCCACTCTCTGGGCTCCCCCTCCACCCAGAGCTGTGCTGGGTCCTGGTGGAGAGAAAGGGCAGAAGCGGCATTTCCCTGCTATGGACTTGTTCCTGCCCAGGGCCTGCCTTTAC